ACACGCCATTTCCTCTCCAGATTACGAGTCATCTGCTTTAGGGTACGTGTTTGAGAATTATACCACGGGGTCATGTACTTCTGATTAGAGACCTTAGTTTTCACTGGAGCTACAGTATCCAGAGTCGTACGTAGTGAGGAGGTGAAATTATTAACAAGATAATCGACCTCTGTTGGGGTAGCGTTCAGATAGCTGCTCTGCTCTGTGTTGGTACAGGGCATTGACAATGATAACAGTGGCTGGATTATATTCTTAAACTTAGTTACAGCGCTTTCAGAGCAGCACCAACTGCAGGCCAACATGGAGGAGGTGGAAGGAGAAATTACCAGAGGAAATGATGCTGAGGAGCACCAGAACAGCACCAAGGGAGCCAGTGGGGAAACAGGAAGCAGTGACCGAAGTTTCAAAGTAAGAGCCAAGGGATGGACCTGTAGTAAATCAAACAGTGATGTTCATACAGAAGAATAAAAATGAAAAATGTCTAGAATGAGTCACTAATCATCCTTGGGGGATCAATACCTGAGCAGCCCTCCAAAGTAAAGTGCAACCAAGAAAATTATCAGTGGACTCAATGATGTCAGTATGCAGACGCGAGGAGCTGGTGGGAAGAAATCCCTGCAGACGCCCTCAGCAGGAGAACAGTTAGAGCATAGACAGGATGTCCACATACTTTTGGCTGTTCAATGATCTGATGTGGTTTTTTTGAGCATGTCTCCATCAGGGAACATTTGCACCAACCAGCAGGTGGGTGGGCTGAGAAGAAGACGTGAAAGTTTACGTGAAGAAGACGTAAACCTTCAAAAAGAAAAACATGCAAACAGTCTGAGTCTCTGCAGTTTTAATGTTTAGAGTGAAGAATGCACAGCTTGAAGCTGCATGATGTAAAGCCTCTGCCAAACACAGGACACCCAGGCGCCCCGGGGGCCCGTGGGGGGATGATGCACTTCCCTCCCTGATTGAAGAAGTGTTTGAAAGCCAGATGTTTGTGCTCTGGATAATCTAAACCCAGGAATTTGTTATTCTGATGTATAGAAACCAAAGTTTGGAGCAACTCTGACAGAAAGCAGCCTCAGCTCTGCTTTCAGCAGCTGATGGGAGTTTAAACCTTCAGCACCAGCAGACGTTCAGCAGCAGAAGTTCAAGGAAAAGCACCGATGATGAAACTGCATCGGCTCAGTTTTTAAACCCACTCTTTGAATAGAACAATGAAGCAATCGAGGCAGCTAGAAGATGGATATGACGGATTTGTTTAGGACTTTGGAGACCTGTGAAACAATCCAGATGTTCCAGCCACTCGGCAGCTCATTAACTCACTTACAATGTAGAAAAATATGGACTTCCAAGAAATCGTTGCAGTTTTTCTCTGAACTCATGTGGTGAGAAAAATTACTTCAGGCAGGTCCGACCAAGAAACGTCTTCAAAGCGCTGCGAGTGTGTGAGCCTTCGAGTCCACCGTTCATCGTTTTGTGTTTGTTCTAACTCTGATAGAGGAGGCTAAACTGGTCAGGCTAAACTGGTCAGGCTAAACTGGTCAGACACTCTGAGACATTTAAAAAAGTCAAAGTTTGGTTGGAAAGCAAAGAGTCTTTTTTCTGTTCCAAGGACCATTTTCAGTGTGAAACAACATCTTTTTCTCTGAAATGCAAATCCCTGCCCGCTCTTATCTACCACTGACGTTTACATCAGTTATTAGAGGTTTGCCACACAGATCTGTCATACTGGTTTCAGTCCTTGTTCAGGTTCTTCACTCAGCATGGAAACATGTCAGCGTGTTTGTTCACGCAGGGAAAGCCGGTGTTTCCATGGCTACAAACTCCAGGGGCTGGTTATTCTGACCAATGAGAGCAAATCCAGCCCTTCTGTTGCTTTTCACTGGAAATGCAGATCTGTGCCAATTTCTCTTACCAGTCCGTCAAACTGGATCCAACCAGTTAACTTCAGGATATTTTAAAAGTACAAACTCAGATGCACCAGTTTGCTAAATCAGATTTTAATTATAAGGGAAAATTTCACCACTTCAAAAAGAGCCGAGGAGAAAAACGTGCCATGCATTTGTTATTCGTTCGCCTCCTCAGCTCATTTCAGCTCATTTCAGTTCTCTGCTTTTACTAAAGTGGCTTTGACTCACAAACAGTGTTGGTCAAGTTAATTGAAAAAACGTAATTAGTAACTAATTACTGATTACTTTCGCAAAAATCACGTTATTTTACTAATTACTTATTTTCAAAAGTAATTAGTTACTTAGTTACTTTTTAAAAACACGATTTCCAACCTGAATAGGTGATAAAGTGATAGATCTTTCAGCCCAATTCTACTTTTTCTGCATAATCATCATACAAAATGTAATCAAATGGAAAAGTCTCATTTTAAAACTTGTTTTATTAGTTTTAATCTTTTAACTTTATGCATCAAGCAAACATTTAATTATCTGCAACATTCTCTGACTGGAAGAAATTAGTTTAATATTTAAACCTATTTTCTGCACATTCCAGCACATAAAATAAAATATTTTGTGTGTTTACACTCAGTCTTTCAAATAGATGCAAGTAAAACACAGCAGAAAATAAATAAAGTCAAAGACTAGCAGTCCTGTTGCTCTATTTTCACCTGTAAAGCAGGAGTGGGGTAGGCGGAGGGTTACCCTGGTGCAGGTGTGCAGCGGTCAGTGGAAGAATCCGCGAGTTTCTCTGTGAGTTTCCCATTACGTCGTAGCTACTCGGTGCTTGTTTGGAAGTTTAGGGGTTTTTCGGTGTAAAAAGAAGTTTTCTTCCCACGCACAACGGACACTAATGTTTTTGTCACTTTTTATGGAATCAAACTCAAAGTAAGGTCAGTACTTCCACGCTTTAAACGCTGCACGCTCATACTCTTTCTAATCATTAAAAAAATCCCCCCTCGTGTCTGGCAGCTCTGATGAGGCGTCCCGCATTAGCTTAACTTACTGAAAGTGCCTCTAAAGCTGAACAAATGTTAATGGAGCCTGAAAAGAGGGCAGTGAGGGCCCAAAGATGAGAACTCCATAAAACTAAAATCCCTCAGCATGTTTTTGTTCAGAGTCAGGAAACCAACCAAAGCTCTGTTACTTAAAAATATTTGTGGTTTCCCAGAATTCTCAGCGGGGCTAAAATCTGATAATGGTAGTCGCCACTGAAAACAAACAACATAAATTACGGAGTATTGTTAATGCACCGAGGACATAAACTGGCTCAAACATCAGGTCGGTGCAGCCAGAGACAGCAGCAGGAGTCTGGGCTGAAGGTGGTTCAAAACCAGGAAGTGATTATGTTAGTAACAGGAAACTGACCTAATGACAGGACAGGGGAAGTGAAACTAAATACATACTCCTTCAAAATAAAACAGGAAACATGGAGAAAAAAACACAATAATCAACAAAATAAAACTAAAATGTCTTGGTACTGGGTCGCACCGTGACATTTTTCTTCCTGTGCAATCACCTGGAGGGGAGAAAATGGAGCACTACAGCAATACAGCTTTTGAGGAGCGGAGATGTGGACGTTACTTTTATTTTTATTGCACAACAGGACAAGAGTGTGACAGTAAAATTGGACAGAAGCTGCTAACACAGCTTTGGTCTTTGCAAGTGTCTGCACAGACAGCATGCTAACGCTAAGCTAGCCAAGAACCCAGACTGGTGTTAGAGCTGAGCGCATGCAGACCCGAGCCCGCAGCCAGAGCCTGAGCGATGAGCAGTCAGGCCGCAGCCTCCGTTTCTACCTGTTCATGTTTTAGAGTCGCTGTGGCGATCACTCTGAGCTCCCTGCTGGTTTTCAACTTTGCTTTGTGAGTTTTAAGTTCAGACGTAAACACTCAGACAAAGATCTGAATCAGGCGGCTGGTGTGGATATCGATGCAGGGCCATAGCAGTGGATTTCAGGGCGAATGGTTAGTATTTAAAATGCATGTGTTTGTCCCAGGCAGTAAAAACGCGAAAGTGCTGAAGTATCATTTGATTTTTGTGTTTTACAGGCATTTCACAGGAAATTAAATTTCTGTTGCCGGGGAGGACTGCAAGACCGTCCACAGACCCACGCGGGCCTGGTTCTAATCTAGGACCACATGAACACGGACATGTGACGAGGAGCTACAGAGACAGAGCTCTTCATTGCGAGCCTTCTGTCTTTCATGTTGCTGGAAACTGACTTTTCAGATTGATGTTTTCCTTTTGAACACTGGAGCAGCTCTTTCAGCACTTTTTAATGTGAGCAAACCCCTTTTGACTTGTTTGTTTGCATTCTTGGTCAAAGCTCCCATGAAAATAAAAATGCTTGCAATGCTAAGCAAACATCAGAGGGAGAATTTAAGGACAATGTTCCCAGTGTGAGAGAAAATCAAACAGCAAACTCGAAGGGCTCAGAACTAAAACCGATAGTCATCTGCAGGAAACTCCTCATTATGGATTTGTTGCAGTAACATCCTGGAGAAAGCCGGAGCTAAAGCTAATTATGTAATTACTTCCTGTCACAACTTAAACTAAGCAACAACAGATGAAAACCACAGAGGATCAGAGACGACCCAACATCAGCTTCAGCCACCGATAAAACTCCCAAACCAACAAACGTCACCGCAGCAGTGGAGGAGGTGAATCCCTCTGAGGCGAGATTAAAGCACCAAAGAAGAAGAACAAAGATTCGAGCATCTGTGATGAAATGTTAATTAAACACTGAAGGTTTCACAGCTTATTTCAGGTGCTCAGTGTATGTGTACAGCGAATCAGCTGCGAGGTGCAAGGAGAAACCAAACAGTTGTCACATGTTTATGAACACAAAACGATAGAAGTGACGAGACTATGGCCTGTATTTGTATCAGGAGGCAGCCTGGGATCAAACCACCGACCTTCTGATGAGTGGCTGACCTGCTCCGCCACCTGAGCCACAGCCAGAAATTAGAAAATATAATTTTTAAATTTTTACAGTTCGGTAAGTTACTTTTCTTCTTCTTTTTTAAACGTTTAAGCAGGATTTTAAACATGAATCACTACCTGGCAGAAAGTCGGCGCTTGGCTCACTTCAGCTGGATGACGGGTGGTCAGGAGACTCTGATGATCCTGGATCACAAAAACAAACAAAGAGTCAGCATCAGCAACCAGCAGCTTCACCCGCTGCCTCGATACGCCAAACGCTCACTCGCAGGAGGAACTCTGGGTTTATCTAATTAACCTTGTTTTGTTTAGACATCTGTTCAATGAGGCGCTGCAGCTGCACGCAGAGCTGTGTCTACAACACATTTCCCTCATGCAGGTAACAGCTTGACTTCAGATTTGGTTTCTGCTTTGGTCAAAGGGCCATCTAACGTGTAACTTCAGACAAAGCTGTGAGATCAGCTGATCTCGTTTCCAGATGTCATTAGCTGATGGATTTCGTTGGATTCAGTTTGAAAGATTTTTGCTGGATGTTACATCAAAGCTGATTTCCCCTGCGTACAGTTGCTGCACAGCTGCAAACCACCTTTTATGCTGTATCAGACTGATGTTGCATCTGCTGTCACTGGTGCTGCCCTGTTTGAAGTGCATGTTCTGTCAAAGGAAACCATTGCTAATTTACATGTGTGGGAAGCTACAAATGTTCAGATTGTAAGGCAAACAAATCAGAAACAAAACAGCGTTTTGGTTTCCTCGTCTTGATGTGCTCGACTCTGAGGTTTCTTTGAAGTGCCAGCACCCTTTCCTCGGTCACTTTAAAGTACAGACAGTGTCACATGTCTGTTGTTCTAGTAACAGCACAGAAAACTGTAGAGGTAGATACAGTAGATACTGTAGGAGGCTCAGAGTGAAGTTCTTTCATGTTCTAAAGGAAAGAATTGATTCATGTTTTACATGAAGTGTGCAAACTCTCAAAAGGACTTTCCTGTTTCCTGTTGTGCTAAGGACAGTTTATGATGCCAGACTGCGTCATTACAGTTTTTGTGGTGAATACTGAAACGCGTTCGTGTTAACCAAAACCACAGCCCTGGTCTCCAAACGTAACCAATGGAAATAAAAATATGAACAAAGAAAAAAACTGAAGAACAACAATGGTCCCACATTGCTTCCAGTTTGTCATCAGCCCCGCCTCCTCTCAAACGGGAATGTGCTGATCTTTGGACACGCCAGTACAGGGGCCACACAGGGGCCACACAGGGGCCACACAGGGGCCACACAGGAGGACATGTTGGATCTTTGGTGGTTTAAAGAGTGTGATGTGATCAGCTGTTATGAAAACAGAACAGGGGGTTGGAAGTAGCGCGTACAACCTGAAGTGTCATTTATCAGTCACCGAATCTGAAGGCTGCGTTGATGTGATGCAGATGTTAGCTGTGGTGAAGGGGCGGAGCCAGGATGAACAAACTGATTCATGCAGAAGCATTCACTGAAGATCATCTCGGGAGAACAGACTACATCCTGATGACGTGGTCACAGAAATACGTGATTATAGAGAATATTACTCTCAAGGAAAGAGGCATTTGAGTAGACGTGGAGCTCTGACATTCGATGCTGGTATATGACAAGAAATCATGAAAAGCACACTAGGTCCACTTTGTCTCTTTAGCCAGTGGTGGACGTTCATATTAAACATGACTGTTTCCAACACTGAGCTCAGAGCATGAGCAGTAATCCCAGTGAGGCCAAAGCTCAGCTTTCATTCTGCTTTCATTTCATCTGTTTCATGGCACAGAAGCCACACCCACCTCAAGCCCTCTGTTTTTCAGGGGCAGCCAATCAGAAGAAAGGTGAGAACAGCTGTAGCCCAGTGTGAGATAAAGAAGGCTCATTTTGGACAGCTAATCATGCAAAGCTGCTGAGTCCTAGAATCAAAGTACAGATTATGACGCACTGATGAGATTTCCATTTATGTGAGGATGAATCCATCAGACGGGGCACTGCACAACCACTTTTCAGTTTTTGCTTCCAAAGCTGCTGTTGATCCATCAGTCTCACATGTGTACACAGAAAATACACAAAACCAAAGGCACTTCCTGCTGCGAGGCAGCGCCCTGCCCGAGAGCAGATAAACAGGAAAGAATAAATCAGATGTGAGCGGAGGCGAGTCTGCTTCTCCTAAACACTCAACATGTGCATGAAAGCCTCCATCACACCTGCTCGGCTCCTCTGCTCTCAGGCGACTGCCGGGACGACGAGGTCTTTCCTAATTTGGCATCTCGATGTGTGCTCCTTTCTTACAGTGAGGCGCAAACTCAGTCTGCTTGTTTCATCCAATCACAGATTGGACAAACTGTCATCAGTGCCTCTTGAACGGTCGCTGAGTTTGTACCTGGAGCTTTTTTTAGATTCTAATTATTTAAAGCAGCAGAAAATTAAAGAACACAACATGTCTGTATGTCCGTGCATCAGCTGATGCTCTGTGAATATAACACAGGCCTGATGCACAAGTTTCAGCTCAGAACTAGAGATGCACGATACCACTTTTTTATATCCGATACCGATATCATAAATGTGGATATCTGCTGATACCGATATGAATCCAATATAGTGTTTTTAATCAATAAAACTTTTTTTAATATCTTGCTGCATTTTGTATAAGTTTATACTCAAGTTTAAATAAACAACAACACTAAAGTTATTCTGTTATACCTGTATGTAAAAAACACACTGCACCCAAAATATTTCATAGTTCAGCAAAACTGATCAATCTAATAAACTTAAACCTGCTCCATCCTCCCTATTCTGGTGTTTTAAAGAGAACTTAGCAGAAATATTAAGCAACCTAACTAATAGGGTTGCAAACTCCCAGCAAAGAAAATAGGGAACTCCCCCCCAACCCCCAACCTCATGATGATTAATCGACGTGATCAACTTTAATTTGATGCAGTGGAAAAAAATGCACAGAAATAAATTATTTTTCAAGAATAATTAAATAGATTCAACATCTTTCTTCAACAGAACTGCAGACTGCACAGATG